GCCCCGGTTCCTGCTCTCTCACATCTTCACATCTTCTCACACCACCTTGGAGCAGGAGGAGCAGTGTTTTAGCCTGGTCACCTCTCAGTTCCTCAGCCTGCCCCACCTCCAGGAGCTCAATTTGGACGATGTCTCCATCCGCAGAGGCCGCCTGGACGAGATCCTCAGGTGAGGGGTGACGAGCTTTCCCTGCAGACCAGAGCAAGTCCTTTTCCATTTCAGTGCACAGTGACGGGCTCTCCTGTGTGTCGTCCCTCAGCAGTGCTAGAGTGCCTGAGCCACTAGACGGGCCACACAGTCAGTGCCTTGTTCACCGCTCTGTCACCTTGCATGTAGTGACATAAACCCCCAGACAAAGGTAGGACATATGCACTAGGACAGAGGTTAGTAAAGAGACTCCTTGCTAGCAATTGGCCTAATGGAGGCTTTGGGCCAGGCGATGGTAGCTTTGGGCATCCTTCTAAGTGGTGCCTAAAGGAGGATGATGCAATAGAACCAAGAGAGGATTGCAATGACAAGGGGAAAGCCAATCAGAGGTGACGTTTCAGGGGTTCAGTTCTGCACTGAGAGATTTGGCCATGGCAGCCTTTCACTCCAAACCTGCCTCAGTCACCTGTCTGCCAAGGGTTGCCATAGGCTCTCGCAAATGGAATGCGTGGTAAATGCTGGATTCCGGAGGGAGGGATAACGAAAAGGGATAGTTGGTTTGTAGACCATGCAGTGATCTAAGTTCCTGGAGGGTGGCAGCCCTCACTGTGCCCCGGTTAGCCCTTTCTGCATTCGCAAACAGAATGCGTGGTAAATGCAGGATTCCAGAGGGAGGTATAACGAAATGGGATATTTGGTTTGTAGACAATGTAGTGATCTAAGTTCCTGGAGAGTGGCAGTCCTCACTGGATGTTTCCTGACTGTGCTCAGGTTAGCCCTTTCTGCACATCTGCCAGAGTCCTCACTGGGCTACGAGATGATGGTGACAAGGTCTAGGCTGTGGATGAAAGGAAGCCCGAGTTGCAGGCATTTTGGAACATGTCTCCAATACTAAAATGCACTGGTTGCCTCCTGCTTCAGACCCTGGGTCAGGCTCCTTTCTGAGCTCCTTCCATCTTTACCTCCCATCTTTATGTTCACAACACTTGTGTGTTAGGGCTGGGTGTATGATGAGCTCCACTTGATGGATGAGTCAATGGAGTGCGTGAGGTTTCATCCAGCTGAATCCATCATGGAGCAGATAACAGATGGAGAAAGATTCCACTCAAATTTGCTCTGACTTGAATATCACTTTTCACTGTGCAACTTCCTGGGTTTGATCATCATCCGGAACACTGTAGGCTTTGGTGACATGGGCCTCTTTACCTGAAGGCCTGCATCATCCTCACCTGCCTCGGCCCACCTACTTTATTCCTAAGTAGGTCCCAATATTTATGCTCCATTTTTCTGTTTTCATCCATCCCCAACATGTAACTGCTCTATATCTCCCCAGGTGCCTGAAGACCCCCTTGGAGACCCTGTCCATCACTAACTGCCTGCTTTTCGAAAGAGACTTGAGACATCTGTCCCAGCACCTGAATGTCAGCCAGCTGAAATGCCTGAGTATCAGTGGGCTCAACCTGACCAATATCAGTTCTGGGTCACTCCAATTTCTGTTAGAGAGAGCCTCCCCCACTCTCCAGGACCTGGATTTGGATGAGTGTGGGATCATGGATGCCCAGTTCCTGGACATCATGCCCGCCCTGAGCCACTGCTCCCAGCTCACAACCCTAAGTTTCTGTGAAAACCCCATCTCCATGAC